GCGACGACCCACTGCTGCGTGAACATATGTATGTGGACATTTGTCTGGTGTCTGAAATGATGATTAATTGTCTGGGTGCAAGTTAAAAGTGTGTAAATCGCATGTATTGAAAATCTCAGTTCCGCGTACAACAGCAAATGATGGTTACGCTGAATTTGCCAAGTTGAAGTGAGAATTTATTGATTTTTTCTTGCGCTATGCTTTTCTACCTCCTTGAGTGTTTGTGCTGAAATATTACTAAGTATGTAGTAGTGTAAGAGCATTAAGGAATAGGAATATTCAACTATTACCAGCTGACGTTCTAAAAGCCCTTTCCGGAAACTTTTTAAGATTACGATATTGATTGGGATGTTATTCTCGTTACGACTAAGATTACAATTATGACAATGAATTCCATTATGATTACTTATGATTGCGATTAAGATTATAATTTTGGCTTTGTTTGTGATTATGATTATGATTGTGATTGTGATTACAATTGTACTGGCAAATTCATCGGCTAAGACTATGGTTTGGTGTTCGTTTGCCGCCTTAAATAACCGAACGAAGGTGTTATGTCCATGAGAAGTAGGGCTGATGATACCCGGGTACCCGATTACCCGGGTATTACCCGGGGCTTTTATTACCCGGGTAGTCGGGTATTACCCGATTTGCCCGGGTACCCGGGTAATATACATATGTTGGTGCCGGTTAAACGAAAAACACCCGGGTAATGCGACATAAAGCTTCTTGTATAATCTTTTTGGTGAGGATAAATATTTTTTCAGTGAGAAAATTTTTTTTTATAATTATTTTTTTATGTCTAGAGTGTACGCGACTATGTACACCTAACCGCTTGCCTGAGTAGACGGAGACAAGAAAAGTAAATTAAAACATTAGTTTCTGTACTTAAATTCAAACTTCTAATTTTTGTAAATGCATATACATACATGCATGTGTACATATGTATGTATGTATGTATATTTTAAAGAATATTAAATATTAATATTTTAAAACAGGGACTGAGAACGAAATGTATGATCGAAACTAAATGCCATTGTCGTAGTTTTGTTCCCAAGAACGCGTCAAAACCAAAACCAAAATGAGAACAAAACTGACGAGAACGTTCTCATTGGGAATTATATAAGAACTAAACCCTGTGGTAGGCCACTTCTGGTACAAAAAGTAAGGTAACAAAGCCTTATGCTATTCATTCACCTAAAGATTTTGTACTTTTATTGTATCAGCTTGTTCAAATTATAGTTTCTTTTCTCATAATATTTAAAGCTTTTAAAATCACAATTATTTAATGAAGTTTCCTTAATACGAGAAGTAGGTTGATGAACGTATTGTTGTGAAATAATTGTGGAAGAAATTTTAAAATTTTTTTCATTCCAACACAAAAATTGCCTCAACTGTCGGTCATCGTTTAGATTCGCAGGTGGGTGTGTCTCAATAATTTTATTTGTTACCGATCCGATATCTGTACGTGCATTACCAACTTCGTAAATATTAATATTTTAGACATGCCTAAAACAAGCTGGGTTTGGAAGTACGCTTGTGTGATGAATGACGGATTTGTCAAGTGCAATGTATGTGTTGTATATTATAATATTTCCCCATATGGTACGGAAGATTCTTATAGATTTTCCCTATGTACGTTCGTTTGCGTTATATGATCGTAAATGCGTTTAATTTTCACCTCTCCACATTTTTTCGGGTGCCCGGGTACCCGGGTAATTACCATACTGCCCGGGTACCCGGTCTACCCGGGTCTACCCGGGTTATAAAATACCCGGGTACCCGGGCTACCCGGGTAATTCAATACCCGGGTAGGGCTTCACCCGCTACCCGGGTACCCGGGTAGCTCATTACCCGGGTGAAATCATCAGCCCTAATGAGAAGTTCCCTGGTGGCAACAATGTTCCGGATCTATGGTGAATGTGCCCTAGAAACTTTATCTCATAGTTAGTGGCAATTTCCAAATGGATGCATATCCTTGTTCAACAGAAATACAATATATATACATAGACTGAGATGAAATACCTTAAAAGCCAGTTTCACCAAAGCAATTTAAGCGAAAAATTATTTTTTTCCATCAGGTACGATAAAAATAAATAAATAATAATAATAAATTCAATTAAAAAATAAATTTTCATTAAATTGCTTTCGGGAAACTGGCTTTTAAGGTATTTCGACAGGTGTTGATTTGAGGCACAACTCAACCCTGGTGTGTCCAAATGAAGCTTTAACGCATAACAATATTAGCAAGTCACATCCATTGGGCCAATCGTAACACACGAGAGGTCGATATACTGAATGGTGTAACAGGTCGATTCAGTCTGACATTCACGGCACCTTTTCTCACTTGTCGATTTTTAGTAATAACTCGACCTCAGCACCGCCTGGCAGCTCTTTTTTTTTGCAATTAGACTGCCTTTACCGCTTCCAATACGTGTTTAGAATATTCGCCAAATTCGATCAATAAAAAGATTTTTAGTAATAACACAACTTGAGCGCCAACTGGCGGATTAAATTGTGAAACTAAGCTATCCAGAGAGACCCACTCAAGCACACACACAAAACTTTGTTAAAATCCCTCCAGCCATTTAGAATTTCACTCGCAAATATACCTACAGAAGAATTATATACACATTCAAAGATAGGTAAAAGTCACTTCATTTGTACTTTGCCACGCCCTCTTTTCAAAGAGCCCATTTTTCTCAATGAGTATGCGATGGACTTCATATTTCTCCATACCAAGTTGCAGAACAATTCCAATACTCTTTCATGAACTGGTACCAAGCAAATTGCTTTTTGGAATTTCTCGAAAAGGAGTTGTCATCAATTTTTTGAGGGAAAGGCTAGAAGAAAATATTTCAGGGGAAAATGAACGTAATTTGAAAAAATTTAGGGAGAAAGCGGTTGATAATGTGCAAAAATTTTAAAGTTATAATAAACTACTTAAAGATAAAAATAGGGTCCCAAAGTGTTACTAAGGAGGAGACTACGTGGTCGGTCGTCAAGTCGTCGTTTCATAAGTACACTAGGCGTTTGTAAAAACATTGCCCCCAAGTTCAAACGCCCTTATAGTGTTGCTAAGGTTCTGCCTAATGACAAATATTTTTTGAGGGATGTAGATGGATTTCAACCTAGTCAAATCCCATACGAAGGTGTATGGCAGGTGGCTAACATGAAACCTTGGTTTAACAGTACTCACTCTGATGAAAGCGTAATCGGAACGAATATAAATCAGAATGGACGAACTGTGGCAGTTTTATAAAATGTATTTTATTTAAAGTAAATGTACTTTATTTAAACTAAGTGTCAATGATAAAAAAACTAGTTTATAAGATATCTAAAATTTGTAAATCTGGTAACACTCTTTATGTATATGGAGGAGACCGGTCATTCGTTGAATAAAAGCGTACGAATAAAGAAGTGTCGGTAGTGAAATATTTGTTTAAAGTATTTAAACTTTTTTTTTGCCTAAGACAATGAGAAGCCCCGCCCGAACCTATAACTAAAATTTCAAAAATATCGGTAGCTACAGCCGATCTTGAGCTTTGCGACCAGAAAAAAACGGCTTTCAAAATATATATTAGTATAGATTAATACGGTAACACAAATTGAAATAATTTTGAAACCAAAAACATCATTGAAAAGATATTTTTCTGTATATGACGAGTTTTTATGGTTTCAAAATGTTTGTATTTTTGTATAGTTTTTGTTACTAAAGGTGTATTATTTTCGAATTCGATGACGACGAAGACAAATATCAAAGACAAAGACAAATATGAATACGAAAAAAATGCGAAGAGCAACCGAAACCGGATTCGAAGACCAATACAACGACCAAGACGAAAACAAAGATGGGTACGAGCGCGAGTAGGAAGACCAATATTAAGACGAATACGAACAATAATGTAAAGGTGAGTAGGATAGCGTTTATGAATACGAACGCGATGACGAAGACGAGTAGGAACACGAATATGAAAACAAGATCGAGGACCAATACAGATACGAAAACGAACACAAATGCGAATAGAGAGATCACAACAAAAACAAATACAACAAAAACAAATACGAAGGAGTATATGAACACGAATACGAAGAGGTATACGAAGACCAGGTTGAAAAGGAACACGAAGAGATATACGAAGGCGAGTTCGAATACATATACTAATACGACGCCGAAGATGAACATGAATACGAGCACGAATAGAAATACGAAGTCGTATATCAAGATGAATACTGAAAACTAGGAAGATGAATACGAAAGCGATGACGAACATAAATTCGAAGGAGAAAACGATGCAGAATACACAAAGGTGAATAAGACGACGAAGTCGAAGAAGAATATGACGGCGAATACGAATACTAATGCGCAGACGTTGCGAACACGAATACGAGGACACCGTAAAGATATGAAGACAGGGACTAAAACGAAGGCAAAAAATCGCCGAAACCCTTAAAAACTAGAAAGCCACTCAATTTGATATAGTTACATAAAAGAAGGTCAATATTGTCTTTAACTTTTTATTTTTTGCAGTAAATAGTTTGTTATTGTTCGAAGCTTTTCTATAGAATAAATTTTAATGTACCGTGGAGGCATCCTCGTGCTTCCGTGCATTGGTCTGACAATATGTGAATTTAACCATCGTCCTTGATTTCTCACAACTAATATTTTTAAAATACCAGTATTCCTATTATTATTCAATAGATTAAGCTTGATTGATAAATAGTCTTTATGAAATTATTGTTTCATATGCTGTTTGGTAAATAAATAAATAATTATAAAAAATGGATAAGCAACGAGAATTTTTGGGGGGTTGTGCTTAGCTCAGCGTTCGTCTGAATGTTCGTCCGAATGTCGTGTGTTTGGTTTCGGAACCAGAAAAAAAATAATCTTAAAATTTCATATTTTTTTATTATCATTGTTAAACTTAAGTAGCTTACTTACTTTTGCTCTTCTTATGATATGTTAATATTCCTCGTCACTATTTTATACTTCCAGACAACAAACGCCGCAAGATGGCCAACAATGCTGTCACACCATCATCTGAGGTGATTCCCACGGCTACCAATACAACAAAAGCCTCCAACTCAAACGTGCAACAACAAGCTAGTCAAAATACTAATAAAATGTTGCCACCTGCTCAGGTGTACTATCAGCAGCAACAGCAACAACAACAGCAAAATGTGATAAAGAATGTGACAAACAATGCAGGCATCAAAGTAATCCAACAACAGCAGCAGCAGCAACTGTCCAATCCACTTGCTGTAGACAACAAAATGTGGCGCAAAGATGCTGAACGTGTGCCACCTCTGCCACAAGCGGTTACTACCACAACAGCATCAATAACCACAATTGCCGGTGAGGATAACAATGTGGCAACACCCACTTGGACGACGGCAAGCAGCGGCGGTGGAATGAGCCATCAACAAACCACCACTCGCTACGTGAAACGTTCACTATCCTCGCCAGTGAAGAAGCAGCAACCAAATTTCAAGGATGATCCCACTGGTTACTTGCAACAACAGACAGCGCTGCTACACAGCTCAATGATGAATGTCGCCATGGGCGAGGAAGATGATGAAGACGAAGAAGAAGAGGACGCGCTAGAGGCAGAAGAAGCGTGTGCAGAGGATGACACAGAGATGGCTGAGGATGCGGACGATTCAGAGGACTTAGACGAATACGAAAGTGTGGCTGAAGAAGATAAGGAGATTAAGCTGAATCGTGCTGAAAGTAATAATAACAATAACGATGGACATGGCAACGTGGATGCAACTGTGCAGCTAAATGTGCAACATATGCAGCAAGAGGCGGTGGGCACTTCGGGTGGCGAAAAGAAACCGCAGACCACTTATGCCACCACCAAAAAGGTTTATGTGCAGAATGGTGTAGCACACTATCAGCAGCAGACACTGCAGCAACAACAAGAGCAGCAAATTAGTGCCCAACAGGAAAACGCATTTTACCGACCACAACAACAGCAACAACGTAAGACACAACAAACATCAACACAGCAGCAACAAATCATTGTGTCAGCTAGTCAGATGCAGATGCAACAACAGCAGCAGCAACATCAACAACAACAAATCAAACAAATGCCAATAGTTTCTATTAATGGTCAGCTCCTGGTGCCAACTTCAATGGCATCTGACGGTGGCGCGAATTTCACGCTCACTTTGAAGCCTCAACAACAACAACAGCAGCAGCAGCAGCAGCAGCATTCACAACAAATACAACTAATGCAACAACAAAACGTCCTATTTAGACCACAGCAGTCACAACAGCCGCAGCACCACCAACAGACGCAGAAAACGAATGTCGTGCCAACTGCTCAAGAATCACCAGTCTCTTCAAGCACCGCCTTTGTGCGCTCAACGCCCGAGTCGCAGCGTCATACGCCACGACCGGAACAGGTTGGCGCTATTTCAACCAGCAATGAGAGTCCTCTACCATGTCCCTCACCTGCTGACTCAGTAGAATCGGGAAGTTCGCGTGCGTCTTCAACTAAGACCACTGCATCGCCATCACCAATGCAACAGCAGCAACAAAAACAACAGCCATCACAGCACGTTTCGCAAGTTAGTGGAAACCACGTCGTGCAAATGCGCGTGCAACAGCAGCAGCCACAGCTGCATCAACAGCAACAGCAGACGACACAGCAGATACGCATTATACGTCAATCACCACAACAACAACAGCAGCAGCAGCAACAACAGCCACAACGTTTCGCTCTCGCACGCAATACGTTCACATCGTTAGCTGGCAGCCGTGCAATAACGACTACAACCGCCACGACTACTACAGCGGCAGCAACTGCCGCCGCCGCCACCGTCACAGCTAGCCAACAGCACTTGGAGACGCTTGCACCACCCCCACCACAATCGCAAAGACTGCAAGCGACATTGCAAAAGGCTACGCCAAGCAACACCATTCCGCTGCAGTTGCCCAGCAGCCAGATTATAATGACGTCCACAGGGCAGCTGATTGTGATGCCAACCAACGGCAAGCCGGCAGCGCAATTGCAACAGCAGCAAGCGCAGAATCAGCAGCAATTACTAATAACTACAACTGCCAACAACGGTGCAGCAGGCAGTGGCGCTGGGCAAGCGGCGACAGGAAATGTAATCATTCAACACCAGCATCACCCTCAGAATCAGCTGGATGTGCTGGGCGGTCACCAGCAGCTGACGACCGCAAATGGCAGCATCATACTACAAAATGGACAACAACATCATCAGCACCAAGGCGGCTATATTGTGGGGCAGGCTTCCACAGCTGGCGCCACCACCACCACTGCACAGCTACAGCCGGCCACAGTCATACTCAATTCGGGCGGTCAAAATATACTGACCACAAGTAATGGCACCAAGGTGGCACTGGCGACAACCGCCAACACCGGCAACATTATTCACGCTGGCGGTCAGCAGCTAATTGCAGGCAATCAACTGCTGACCACCGCACAGAATGCAGCCACAGCGGCCACCACCGGTCTGTTACATGGCCAACAAGCAGTTGTGCTGAATACGCTGCCCAATGGCGGCTACGTCATACAACAGCAGCAACAGCCTGCCGCACAACAGCAATACGCCACACTGGATGGCCAGGTGGTTAGCCAGATCGTGCAACAAGCCGATGGCACTACTGCCTACGTACAGCAAACGCAACAGCAACACCAGCAACAGAGTCCACAGCAGCAGACGCAACGCATCATTATCACTTCGCCAGATGTGAAGAGGCGCGCAAAAAAACGTAAGAGCTCCAGTGGCAGCGGCTCGCCCACCAGCACGCCCACTACCAGCCTATCGCCACAAATATCCCCTACGATACCCAATCAAACAGCCATTATACAGCAGCAAGTAGCTGCCGCCGCCGCCGCAGCTGCTTCGGCTGTTGCCGTGCAGCAGCAGCAGCAGCCGCCACCACCGCAGGCACAGGTTGTACAAATCGCTTCAGCCGCCCCACCACAATATCAGCAACAATTCCAACTTAGTCCTGGCATACAGGGCATTATGGTCAATAAGCCAGCGACTGCTACGGCCACGCAGCCACAGCAAATCATTTTGCAAAATGGTCAAATAATACAGCCAATGAATCTCATTGGACAGCAATTAATTGTGCCCACTGGGCTGGTGATGGCACCCGATACCACACTGCTGCAGATTCAGAATGTGGGGACTTGCGGGCCGAGCATACTCACCACCACGCCACAGGGCACAACTATGATGTTGCGCACACCCTCGCCCCAAAACAAGCAGTTCATCTCGCCCACAGCCGCTGGGCAGCAATTTATTGTTGGCAGCAATGGACAATTGAGTCCGATTGGACAAATTTATTCGACACCAATGGGTTTGGTAATGCCGACGGCACAACAACAACCCGGCACGACCACGTACGTGCAGCAAAACGCGACCATACAAGTGCAACAACATCCGCAAGCACAACAACAGCAACAGCAGCAACAGTCACAACCGCAGGTGCAGCAGCAGCACGTGCCAGTACAACAACAACAACAGCAGCAGCAACAAAGCCAACACCATCAGCATGTTGCCATACAGCCAGCAACTGCCGCCATGCAACAGCAGCATCAACAGCCGCCACAACAACAACAACAACAGCAGCATGGCACTATGCTGAGCTCGGAGCAAATTGTTATGGAATCGGCAACGTCATCATCCTCAACAAGCACTTCGTTAAGCCGTAGTGGTCAACGTTCGGCTGCAGCCAGTCCACCGGATACTACTACACACAGTCCACGTAGCCCAGAGCGACCGCCAAGTCATCGCAGCGGTGGCAGTGATATGGTGGGATGAATAAATTCTAAATATATTTTTTTTTTTCGTGTATATTTATTGAATCGAAAATTCTTCTTCTTCTTCTCTATGTAGGTGCAATGTGTATCCAGCTCGGAACCTGATGGTGCCGCTTCACCGCTAAGTACAGACAGTCGTCAATCACCATCGACTACGGACGCTGAGAAAGGTATGGGCATTAATAGGAATCATGTGTTTTTAGGGTTTAAATACACAAACTGAAGCAAGCAGGGTTGGAAAGTTTTTAAAAATCCAAACTGTAGTCCAGTGCTCGCATATGCTTCCTTATTAAATTTTCGTGAGTTTAGCATTTTTGCACAGAATATTTACGACTTATTTCTCGAAGAGAACATCATGCTAACCATTTTCGATGAACGAGTTCATGGTCCAACATGTCGGAGTTCTGTTCTATTTTTTCCACTCAAAGATTAAAGAAATTCTTAGCTGGCTCGTAAAAGCGTTTAAATAATAAAAGCTCATCGATAGCTCTTTCCTAGGCCTTAGAAGCTAACAATTTCCTATATACCTTGCATTAGAAGTTAAACACTAATTTTATTTCATTTTATTCATTTTGTCGTTTCATTTTTCATGGCCACTTCGGCAATAGTTAAGGTTTATTTGTGGATAAATTCGTTACCAGTTTCGAGCTACCCCGAACTAAGTCCAAAATTGACCTGAAGTAATCCTGAAGTGGTTGTGATAAGGTCGTGAACTTGCGCCGAAATAATCTCGAACAAGTAGTTAAACGGTTCCGAAATGGTTCCTTATTAGTTCCGAAATTATGCCGAACCGTTCCCAAAATGGTCCTAAAGTAGTACTGAACTAGGCCTGAAATGAGCCTGAACTAGTTCTTTAATTGCCCCGAAATGATATCGAACAAGTCTTGAAATGGTCCCAAAATGGTTGTTAAACAGTGCAGAACTAGGCCCGAAATGGTCCTAATATAGTCCCCAAAAAGTTCCTCCAATAGTCGTGAACTGGTCTAGAAATGGTCCAGAACTAACCCGAAAATATTACTCAATTAGTCGTGAAGTAGTCCCGAATAATGCCGAAAAGGTCCCGAATTGGGCCTGGAATAACCTTGAACTAGTCTAGAAATGCTCATTTTTGTACACACAAGAAGCAATTATAGATTTTCTGTTGGGTTACACAAGAATCAGTTACATATTTTCGGCTGTGTTAATGCAAATTTTACCCCAACCTAAAGCTAAACTGTTTACACATCAAAAATCGTGCTAGAAAACTTTCGCAAGTATGTGAACATCGGTTTACTAAAACGTTCGCTGGGTTCGTGCAGTTTAATTAGCAATCAAAAGATATATGTACATACATACATATGTATCTCGTTCAATCTTTAAAAAACTACGAATGCAATATTAAAATCGTATCGCACGAACATAAAATGTTTTAAAATGGACACCTTATGTGCTCGTAAAATCGTCTGCTAACCACTTACAATCCTCATCCACTCAAACTCCCACGCTTTCGAACAGCAGACAAGCACACACCCGCACAAAGGCACGCAATCTGGCAATGTTTCTTTTACAATCGACTTGCCAAGCGTCGAACAAATCCAGAAAAAAGGCAACGGGTATAAAAAACGAAGCATTACACAAAGAAGCAGCCGAACATCACGCAACTTCCTTTGGGCATTTTTATGCTGGCATAGGAAACCTTTGCACGCTCCTGCATATAAATTCCTAATATCGAACATATTTTCATGCGCAAAAAAAATATAAAAATAAAGTGTACACCAGACACTGAAGCAGCGCAGCGTAGTGGGGGGGGGGGATGGGAAAACGATATCACCACACACTTTATGCTACTCACATTCGATGAAGAAATCAAGACGTTAAACGCAACATTAAATTCCAATCGATACATATACCAGCGGCACGCAATACGTACAACAAATGTGCAGAAAGAGAGATGGGGAGGTAGTGCGCCAACACTGAAAAAATATGTACATATATCTAAACTGGCTAAAACTCTAAGCCATCGTATAGAAGTAGCGAGTGAAGATGAGCATGAAGCGTAGAATCGTTAAAGTAAGTAGGCTCGTAAATTGTACGCTCTATTAGCTGCTGCTACGCCGCACAGCTTTAGCAATGAGCCAAGTTAAGGTGCCTTTAGGCTAATACTGGCTCAAATTTCTATCTGCGCAGTTACTTATTATGCGCTCATGCCTGCCGCAATCAAATCGAACGCATTTCTTTGTTGTAAAAATTTCGCTAGTGTGTTTATTTAGTTGGCAGATAGGAAGGTGAGGAGTATTGCCGTCAAAAATGAAACATCAGCGCTTTTGATTGCCAAGCAACTTTCCGATAATGTCTACCAATAGTCGATTTTACTTCAACCACCATAATACTTGCTGCCTGCGCGTCTCCCCCCACCATACATTCCACACATTTATTTACCTCCTCATGCCAATAGGTTTCTATACATATTTCCTTCTGTGTGCGTATAAATTTTTATACCAGCTAAAATTCTTTTTCGCTTCAACACTCCACATTTAATCGACTTTTCGTATTTTGAAAATTTTTATTTTCTTGCCGCTTCATCATCAACAATCATGGCCGTCGTACGCGTACGCTTTTCCATCAACTTCGATCAGGACTCGGCATGTCAAGCGCATATCAAACCACAAATATTTACAAACCATCGGAAGCAAAGATACGACGCGTGCAAACACCGCCACAGAGCGTTGGCGGCACAGGAGTCGGTGGAATGAGCGCAGCCGCTGGAGGTGGAGGCAACAGCGGTATGGGTTACACAATTACCTCAGCCGCCACATCTTCGGCTTTAGCCACAACGCTCCAACTGCAACAACAACAACAACAACAGCAGCAGCACCACCACCACCACCACCAACAGCAACTACATCAACGACAGCAGCAGCAGCAGCAGCAGCATCAGCAACAACAACAACAAATGCAGCAACATCACTTGCTACAGCAGGATATTTTAATGAAACCCGATTCGCATGGTAAGTAGTCATATGTAGCCACTATACTCAATTGACGTTGCTCACGTCAAATCAGATACAACTCATATTTTTGTATTTTTTTTGTATTTTTTGTTTTGGTTTTTGTTAACGGTGTAAAAATGAGATTTCATTTCGTATTCGATTGCGCCATTATAAAACATACACATACATATGTATTGTTGAATCCTTGTTGGTTTTGTGAATTGAATTTTTGTGCTCTACAAACATATTTACTAACAATGCGACAAGCTAACATTTCATACTTACAACACGTAATCTAAGGCATATCAGCACACACACACACACTAACACATGTAATATCCGTACTTGCAAATATCCTTTCCCAACTCACTTGCCACTCACTTATCCTCACTGTACTTGATATGTACATATGTCGGTGATTGGCATATTTTTGCTGCTATATTTTCTTTTGTATTTTGTCTGCAAATCTTTTCCACAATATCCATCATTGTTCATATGGAGTTATTATAGCAAAATCACGTAAAATCGTCTTATGCTCATAAATACTAATGCATGTCGATGTAGTTACTTTGTATAAAGCATAAGCAAACGTGTCTAGGTATACTTGCATGCATTTATTTATGTATTTTTATGATAAAATCCTATCAGCATCCATATGTAGTGTAGCATATTTATGAACGGTACACATGTAATCTGGCTTTTGTATGGGGCGGAGTAGTGTTCTGAAAACACTGACATGTTGATAAAATTTAACATAGCCTATCACTACGGTGACCATATTAACCAATGTAAAATAAAGGACATTTTTTTCAAAATTATTTGGGAATACGTACATACAACTTGTACGATAAAAGTACCTTACCCATATCGTAATTTAAATCAAATATTTACCAGTTAATTAACCGATTCCGGAAAATGAAGCCAAATCCTTTTCAAGGACTTCGTCACCCTTTGCTGCCAAAATACGTCAGACCGAAGTCAGCACACAGAGGTTCAAAATTGGAATTTAATGTTCGTAATTCACCGCAGTCTTTATTTTTCAACCAATTTTTACTAAAAACCAAAAAAAAAATTATTTTTGTGAACCTTTTTTATAAAATTTCAAACATTTTTTGTAATTTTTTCGTTTTGGGGAACCATAAAATTGTTTTTAACTAGTCTTTGTTATGTAACATTTGTTAACTAATGTATTCTCCATTTTCTTCAAAACTGCCACTTTTTCGGCATTTTGCACTAAAAAATTTCATATAATCAAATAAAAATTCACAAATCAGGCTCAACTAGTATCTAGCAAATATTATGAGCTTTAATAAAAAAAATTATCAAATTAAGTGAAAAAAATGAAGGCTCCAGTGAATTACGAACACTAAATGCCACTTTAGACCACTGTGCAGCAGGGGGTTTATTGTTCTCTTTCAATGGAACTGGAAACTCAGCGTGCAACACGATCCTGTGCACAACTTTCCCTGTGCTTTATATATTGTGCAAAGATTACCTATTAAATAAAAACCCTTAAGTGGGGTGCGAAACAAACTGGCGAAGATTTTCATTATATTTTATTAGGAACATTTTTATTTTTCATATTCTGAAAAATTTACCTCTGAAAAATGCAGAGCTGATTTAAAGGACAGTTTAAGAAATAACGGACAAAACGCGTCCTTTATTTTGAAAAAAATTATAAAGGACAGGAGGTTAAAATAAAGGACTGTCCTTTGAAATAAAGGACGGATGGTCACCGTACCTATCACTAATAGCGTAATTACATAAAAGATTTTCGATAAAGTTAAAGCGATAAAAGCTTGTGGAGAATAGTAAAAAAATTTCGTAGATTCTGACACTATAGGCTATAACTGCGGTTGCCAGGCGTACTGATTTCATTTGTATAGAACTAAATTTTCTTTCGTTATACGGATTATTTTGAATTTCTTAATCAGTAATGCAAATGTACTGACTTTTAACATCTTGTACTAATTTCTTACTATTTTTTGGTCATTTGTAATTATTTTAACTAAGATAATTAGTGTCTGAAGTTACCCTTGTATGGCTAGTATTAAAGCCATTAAACTAACTTCAGTAACTAAATATGAATTTGCCGCGATATGCACTCGCACGTTCACTTTGGTCGTACAATTTTGCCAATTTGTCTGCCGTTTAAGGTTTTTACTGTTTATAGCCCTGAGAGACATAAGGTTTGCACGCCGTGGTATGCATACTAGCGACGTTAATTTTTATCGTTTTTACGATCCTGGGATTTTTGTTATGTCGTTATCACGGTTGCCACTTTGGTAAATTTTTACCAAAATTGCTAGAAAAAATTTGGGTTGGTAAAAAGGTAAACTTTTTCTCATTTTGGTAGTTTTTTGTTGAATTATTTTGTTTTAAAAACAAATAAAACTTTTCTTCCCGTTTTATTTTTCATGGTTATCTTTTTATTACGAATTTCTTTCCAAAAGTGCAGTCTACTTTATGGCATCAATTTTCGAACGCTTTAATGCACACTTTTTATATACATTCTTCTGCTTCTTCTTCTATTTGGCGCTGTAACTGCCTAAGCGATTTTGGCCGAGTTCGGCAAAGCTCGCCAGTCGTTTCTCTTCTGTGCCAACTGACGCCAATTGGAAACGCCAACTGAAGCCAAGTGGTAAAGCTCATACAGCTCATCGTTAAATTGTCTGCGGTATTCGCCATCGCCAACGCGTAATGGTCCGTAAATCTTTCGCAGAATATTTCTCTTGAAACTCCAAGAGCCGTTTTATCAGATATTTTCTACTTTTTCAAACTTGTAACCAGGGACGTGAACCGGTTTTGAACCGGAAAACCGCTTTTTTCTATTAGTTAACTGAACCATTAACCGAACCGAAATTTTCCACAAAGGTTTGATCCGAAACGAAAACCGAACCACTTTCCATAAAGGTTTAAAGGTTCGTTTCAACTAAGTTTTAATAGATAAAAGTACCCACTTTTTTTCTTTTTGTTAAACATGGTAATACCTACCATGTTTGTTAACCATGTGACAATATCAAATGTAAAGGCAACCCATCTCTTGACCCTCAACCTTGCGCGTTATTTTACTTTGGTCACATAACGGTTGTTTGTAACAGGTAAAACGAATCGAGATAGATATAGACAAATGTATTCATAAGTGATCAGAATAAAAAGAGAAATCGATTAAGCGGTGACTGTCTTAACGAAACTTTGTATGCGCACTTCTTTCGGGCGTAGAACGGATGGTATTGAAAATGGCCAAAATCGGACAATAACCACGCCACATCCCATATAACGGTAATTTGGAGAAATACGAAATCTTCGATAAATCAGTAAATATTAAAGCTAATTTATTCAAAATGCCTGCGACAATCGTTTACCAAGAAATAGTTCATGATAAAATTTTGGAAAACGGGCGTGGCACCGCCCACTTATGATCACATATATGTATGTATCTCGGTAACCGGTCTACCAATTTAGACCAAACTCGGCATGGCTATTGTGCTTGCCAAATAAAATCAAAAAAAAAAATCATTGAAATCAGACTAAAATTGAGGCCGCTTTTCATATAACGGTAAATTTCATAAAAGCTTGAAACTTCAATATTTTGAAATTTAAGGACGCTAAATTACTTAAAATTGATACACCCCGGTATACCATGTTGCGGTGGCTTTCGGAAAGGTGAAAATCATATATTTAATACTTGCGCCGGGTATTGAATGTTCGGCCCGAACTTAGACTTTATTACTTGTTTGTTTTTCGAACCGTTGAACCGAACCGAAACCCCGGTTCAAAGACCAAAAAAACCGCTTTGGCGAACCAATCCAAAAGAGGAAAAACAGTTCGAACCCGCGAACCGAACCAACAAAATTTTTCATCCGGGTCACCTCCCTGCTTGTAACTGTCAACAGTGACGTATGTATGTGCCAAGACCGTATGCTCTGACTGTTTCTCGATCTTGTCGCTGTGGAAAAAGCGTTTAGATAATAAAGATAACAAATTGGTAGCTGTGGCCCGTGCCCCGTCGTTTCCAACATGTTTCAATCTAAAAAATGAGAGGCTGTCGCTGAAGATTACAACCTTTTTCTTTCTCGGCAGGCAACGCCTAGCCTCCGATCATATTTCTGCTCCTCGTAAAAATACAATCGCTGTTCGGAGTCGGTGTAAAACCGAAGGTCTTTCTGCCACAAATCCGAGGAGAAGCTCGGCCAAACACTAACATATGTGTAAGCTCCAATCTATTATTATTATGGCTTTGAGTGATTTTGGAACAGGATTTTAGGTAGCACTCTAAGTCTGCTTTCGGAGATTCGGTATTTCAGTCTGAACGTGCTGTTTATCGGGGTGTTGACGAACACATACATTAATACTGTTACGGATGGTTTGGTGGTATGAGGGCTTTGGAGTACTTCTGTATAGAAACAGCCCGCCGTCGATTTTGCTCTGCATCAGAGGCTTTACCAGATATGCGAGTGTGTTGATATGTGTGTGGCTCCTTTTGGCTTAGTGCCGCGTTAGGTTGATTCTAGACGTTAACGATTTTTTCAGTGGTGTAACGTGGTTGTTCCATTTGTACTTTTTGTTGAAAACAACTACGTAATGCAAAATGCTTTAATTTAAATTTGCCCAAAGTTTTTGATTCGCTTTTAAAATTTCATATTGGCCATTTAGGGTATTTTTTTCGACGATGATATGTACATACATATGTATGTATATATTTTTTGCAGCTTTAAATAAGGTACTTTTACACATTTGATTGCTCTAAAACACTTTGATGATTTCACCACATACACTGAGAAAATTCTTTAGTTACGTCAACTAAATACACACGTACATATATTTCTCCACACTAGGGATGTGCGATTAATCAGCCAATCGAAATTACTTACTTAATCAAAGAATAATTATTTTTGATTAATCAAAATGATTACTTTTCCGATTAATTACATATTGATTAATCAGAATCTAACTAATTTGATTAATCAGCAAACTGATTCATCCTATCCTGATTAACCAGAAATCTGAGTAATTGCTGTTATATGTTTTGTTTACATACATACATACAAAAATAGCAAAAAATTTAATTTTAAGAAGCTACATACATATGCACATATTTACGCTGTATTTACTACATAGTACGTACTTGTTTGGCATTTTATATTTGTTAATAAGATAGATATTAAATGTGCATACGAACATACATATTTGCACATACAAACATACCTATTAAAGAAACTTCGTTTGGTTTGAAAGAAAACTCGAAAGAATTGAACAAAGTTTTTCAGATTTCAATTATTTTTTATTTTTTATAGTTTGAGTAAACACTAATTACTCAGGATCTTATTAATCAGAATCTGATTGATCAAATTATTTAATTAATCAGGATTATGATTATCTTAAACTTGATTAACCGATCAATCGCACATCCCTACTCCACACACAATATTTGGTAACTAAAACCAAACGCGACTGAAGTTTTTTCTCAGTATACACGCATTGACATTCGTACATACTACATACATCATGGTGATAGCTTTATGTGCAAAAACATATATGTTTGTTTTCGTCTAATTTACTTTCATACTTCACTTGTCAATGAATTAACTACAAAATAATTCGGTATTTCATGTGCTTCCATGGCCTAAGAAAACTAAAAAAACATGCGCAAATTAAATTAACCCGTCAGTGTGTCACGCAAATTAACAAGCATCGGTCGGCAAATTTTTGCTGAAAATAAAATTGTATTTAATGACCTAATTAATTCATAGAGTCGCCAAGAAATTCGCCAACAACAACTACTATAACAACAACGCCACCACCACCACCACCACCACCACCACCACCGCCGCCGACACAATTGGTGACGCCAACACCAGCAACAACATCAACTATTGCACAAGCATCAGCTAACCACCAGACATGCCATAAGTCCACACAAAAATCGCCAAACAAATTGCTACGCGCTCGTACCACACGTGCTGCCCGAACGATTCCCAATGGTGGTGCAGAATTAGCCGATAGCACCGCAGTGGTGGTTGCGTCAACACTCACAACAGCAGCAACAACAACTCCTTCGTCTGCATCAACGGTCGCACATGCTTTCTCGATTGGTGAATTGATTTGGGGCCCATCGCGCGGTTATCCCGCCTGGCCGGGTAAAGTTGTGCAGGTGGAAATTGATGAGCAACCGCAAACCACAAATGGTGAACCTGCAGTTTGGGTGCAATGGTTTAGTGGTGGTGGACGTATCATAACCGAACTTATAGCGATCACTTCGCTGCATAGTCTTTCTGATGGTTTGGAGGCGCATCATAAGGCGCAAAAGGATACTAGAAAGTGAGCACTAATATAGTATACATACATACATACATATTATATGATGAGGAATAACACTGGTTTACAGCAAAAATGTTCTATAGATGCCACTATCCAATTCTTATGTAGAATTGCTCGGTGAATACCGAAAATCGAGATATATATTTTTTTCCTATGGATCACTTTTCGAGATATTTGGAGTTTACCGTTATTCAGCTTAAAAAATTAGTAGCTTCACTTAATCACATCTATCTTACGAACCAATTGAATAATCTAATATGGGCAAATCCAATACGGCAAATGAGAGCTAATTAAATTCTCCATAAATCGCATATACATACATCACTTTTCGATAGCCCTCATGGGTTCTGAGAAATGAATTAATCATTTCTGACGTCCCTTGTTTTCGATGCAAATACTCTACATACTCAGGCGTACGTGGCGTATGAGTGACGGCTCTATTATCGTTTTAAGCAAGCATCTAAATTTCAGGGCAACCATCTGCCCTGACAAAGCTTCAAGGGGAGAAAAGGTGTGACATTTTAAGAAACGAACAAAAAATGTTTCACTCTTTGCCCTTAATTTAGAATCGAACACGAAAAGAGAAAGGGGTCATCTGTTTAATGGATGCAATCAGTTTCGTATGAAATTTAACATGTTAATAAATATTTGGCGAGTAAGTGGGGTGATTAAGTGGAACCACTCTTTTTTAAAGCTGAATAACGGTAAATTGCAAATATCTTGAAAACGTATTCATAAAGAAAAAATTAACTCGACTTTCGGACTCAGCGAGCGATTTTACGTGCTGATTGAGTGGTGGCGTCTTGAGAACAAAAACAAAATGAAAGTTTGTGATCCAGTCTAATCAGTTCATAGGCCAGTTTACGGAATATATGTTTACATTCATATGTATAAGTTCTGATAGAACAATGGATCTGAGACTAAATACAAACCCCCAACAATAGTTTCCTACGCCTTTTAGTACTTGTGTAGGTGCATTCGCTCTTGATTTTTTTTTTTCGTACAGTCAATCAAATCGAAAAATAAGGTTTAAACAACATTCCAGACTATCCTAAGATTTTCCAACATATTTAGTAGTAAAAGTGCTTGATGTCACAAGTAGAAGTAGTAAGTCTTTAACGAGTTGTCACCATATCGGTCCGCCATCATGTTTTTTTTTTGGTTTTAATGCGCCATACATACGCTTTCACATTTTCCGAAAACGTATTCGAAAATGGGCATAATATCCGATTCCATTTTCGGTCGTTTTTCGGATACGCTTTCCACACTCGAAGATTGCATCAGCAACATACATTTCATCCCGTTTCTACATTTATGAGAAAACTAATATTAGCACTTATAGCAATTGTTTAAGTGTCATACTTATTCTTCTTCTTATTTGGCACTGTAACTGCCTAAGCGATTTTGGCCGAGTTCCGNTTTAAGTGTCATACTTATTCTTCTTCTTATTTGGCACTGTAACTGCCTAAACGATTTTGGCCGAGTTCCACAAAGCACGCCAGTCGTTTCTCTTTCTTGCAAACTGACGCCAATTGAAAATTCCAAGCGAAGCCAAGTCCTTCTCCACTCGGTCTTTCCATTGCAGTGGAGTCTCACTCTTCCTCTGCTGCAGGTTCCGAATACTTCCAGAGCTCGGTGTTCATTCGAATGACACAGCCAAGCCAGCGGAGCCGGAAAATTTTAATTTGCTGTACTATACTCACCTACTGAGGATACTTCGTCTTGTCCTCGTTAACCACCATACCTAATCGCTTTGCTTCCTTATCCAACTTGGAAAAGACAGAATAGTCTTCGCGGTTCTTATTACCGATGATGTCGATGTCATCAGCATACGCCAGCAATTGCACGCTCTTATAAAAAATTGTTCCTGAGCGGTGCAGTTTGCGGCTCTTATTATCTTCAACAACATCATATTAAACATGAAAGGGCATTTTCAACACCCATTCGTCCTTGTGAACCAAAAAACTTTATTTTTAACCGACTTCCAAAAAAGGAAGAGGTTATCAGTTCGTCGGAATAATTTTTTTTTTTTTTTTTATGTATGTTACCGCATAACTTTGGACCACGTCAACCGATTTCGATAATTCTTTTTGCATCGGAAAGGTAGTGTCTCAGAGGTGGTCCCATACTAATCTGGTTAAGATCCGATCAGCGGATCATGAGATATATATATATATATATTTTTTTTTATATGGGAGTTGAAGTCGGTTTTTTTTTGCTAAAAATTACTAGTTATTCAATTAGTTTTCTCTTTTATTTGGTTCTCCATTGCATAATTTTTTTCATTAGTCATATGTTTAGAACTCCAAAGTCCTTTAAAAAATGCTGAAGTCGAATAGACAAACTAAAAACGCAGTTTTTTTATATTTCGCCCATAGCTTTTTGACCGTAAATATTATCCGGTCGGAAAGGGGTTTAAGATGGTTCAATATGCACATGTTACGCAACTTTTCCACACTTTTAGAATTTCGAAGTCGAAAAATTAATTTTTTTCCGCTCCGCCCTAATAGGAAAATAGGCGCCGCCGCACTATGGGCAAAAATCATGTCTTTTTTTCAAAATCGTATATGGTTTGAAAGGAGTTAACTTAATGAAACTTTTTGCAGTTTTAGGCCAAATGTTCATAAAATGGAAGAAACCTGTAGAAAAATCGCAATTTCATTTTTTTGGGAAAAGTATGTTTGTTACTTCTTCACGCAGAAACGGCTAGACGGCAGAGCGAATGCACGATTTAAATATTTTATATTTTTATATTATTAGAATGTAATTTTCCTTGCACTTTTTCGTAGGTTAAAAAATATCTAAAAAATTTTTTCTCCGGAATGCTGCATACATATTTATGCATACACAAGTACATATATAAAATGATATTTGTGCTATATTTTATTTAATGAATAGAGTACTTTAGTTTTTAAACAAAATTTTAGTTTGGTAATATAGATATTTATGTATTTGTATGTATGTGCATATTTTTTTTTTTTGCTATTTAAATATTTTTGAACATTAAAAGTTTAGATACGTATATTTTTTTAGAATTAATGTATGTAGTTTCTTGAATGCCTGATAACTTTATTAATATATGTATATACATATTTATGTAGATATCTATGTATCGTAAATAGGTATCATATAGTATCTATTTTTTAGCTAATTAGACATGTTTTATTTAAAAAAAAATATATATTTTTAAAAAAACTATGTGTTGTTTATATGTTATTAATTAATTTGTTTATTTTTTTATTGCTTTTTCTACTCCTACCAACCCACTTTATCCGTGTCATGTGAATAATTGTCTATGTCTTGTACATTTGAATGCATCCACCACCACCACCACCAACAAATCCAACCAACAACAAAATCAATCAACCAACAACACAAAAATCAAACAATCAATACCTCCACACATTTCCCCAAATACAATTAAAAACAACACACCGCATTTCCCAAATTGGTATGACATACGTTAAAATCAAANATATGTTATTAATTAATTTGTTTATTTTTTTATTGCTTTTTCTACTCCTACCAACCCACTTTATCCGTGTCATGTGAATAATTGTCTATGTCTTGTACATTTGAATGCATCCACCACCACCACCACCACCAACAAATCCAACCAACAACAAAATCAATCAACCAACAACACAAAAATCAAACAATCAATACCTCCACACATTTTCCCAAATACAATTAAAAACAACACACCGCATTTCCCAAATTGGTATGACATAAATTAAAATCAATACCATAAACGTATCATCAAATACCTAAAAACACTACCATAAAAGGAGCCGAAAATTGAATTCACAACTCGAACGCGCCATTCAAGAGGCAATGACCGAATTGGATCGTATTTCAGCTACTTCAACAACAACAATTGTCGGTGCAACTGCAGCCAAACAACAACAGCTGCAGCAAGCCACAGCAACAACCACACTCAACAACAACAACAACAACAACAACAACAACAACAACAACAACAACAATTCGACTAGTCCAAACCGCAATAAGCGGCTCAGCAACATCGCACAGCGCAACAGCAACAACACCACCACCAGCAATATTGGCGCCGCTACAACTACCGGCGGTTATGCAATCGTACCAACATCTGGTGGACCCACACATGCCATATCTACAACCAGTGCGCATAATAGCTTCAGCACACCGCTAACTACAGCTACAGCACCACGCAGCAAGCCAATACGTATAGCACCAGCGCCGGCACCAACAAGCGGCTCGCCCAACAAAAATACAACTGCTGCAACAACAACAACAACAGCCACAGCAACTGTAGCGCTAAGCCAAGCACAGGCACAGCAGGCCACTACGCAACAACTCACGGCGCTGGGTAAATGACACGGGGAGTCCTGCGCGCAGGTCTCATGGTCCATGCAAACCTACACGCTAGTCATACACAATAAGTAGTCTGAAGCGAAGAAGACTCGTGTAGGTGTGACTAAAGAAACGGCGCTATGAGTCGGAAAACATGTATGTATGTATGTACATGCGTATGTGAAGATTGCTGGAAAAGTGATATGGAAGAGACTATCTAAAGGATGAAAGTGAAAGCAACGCAATGCTAAGGATCCTTGCATACGGCGTGGGAGAGCTAGAAGTTGCGTGCGAGCGTTCATGAGTATGGGAGAAGATGATGTGGTAATCTATAGCTGTTTTGGATTTTTAATTTGTTAAAGGAATTGAAAAAAGCATTGTGGTTGATGTTTGGTAATACAAACATATGTATGTACATATACATATATATGTATATAGAATAGATCGAAAAATACATCAACACTAATAAATATATTTAAACAAAAATGCATTTGAACATTGTACATGTACATATGTATATGTAGTAATACATATAAATAAATAAATAAAATATTTATGCAAATAAATTTCCAAAAGTACCAGTAAATATGCTTGTATCTATGCAGTCCTATATATACATATATAATCTAGTTATAACACAAGCTGCTAGTATGAAAATAAGCGTACCTACGGTTGAAATGAAAATATTTATTTTCAAAAAAACTCGAGTTAATTTTGTTTTTATTTATTTTTTACTCTATTTTTTAACAGACAGCATTAGCTTGGAGACAATTTATAAACTTAAAACTATACTTTATTCAAAAAATATATAAACATTATGAAAATACGCTTTATGTATTTGTAAAATTTAGTTGTTGCAACAAATTTCGTTAAAATTTCTTATAGTTGTATGTATATAGGGTAAGAAAACTCAAAATGTGTGTTTCTTTAAGAACATAAAAAAATAAATAATAATAATAATAATAATGCAAAATTATGTAATTATCATGAAAGTCTTTCAAATATTTTATACGTGGTAATTGTACAAGAATTAATAAAAATAAAATATGATTAACTTTGTTGGTAATTGATTTAAGCTTTTAAGATACATATAAAACAAGCAACATAGCATTGCCAAGTGAAAGCCGTTTGAAATTATTATGTAAACACACATAATACCAATAATATAAAAAGAAAAACTTTTGTTTAGGCTACAAAAATACATGCATATATGTATGTAAATGCATAAAAATATATAAAAAATTTGCTTTCAACAAATGTATTCAGCGCTAGAGACATTTTTTCGATATTGCTTATGACAAAAATCAAATACAAATATGTGTATTCTTTATTTTCACCTGCAATAGAATTTTATTTAACGCTAATAGACAATAAAAATAAATAAAACTTAAAGAAAAAAGTTTAGTGTGTAATTGTATGTAAATCACGCTTTGGCACAGCGTATTTATGTAGCTACATTCACATATATTTTTAAACACTAAACAGACACATAAATACGTAAGTAACGCATATTTACTTTAATTCGTAAGCTGAAAATGCTTTACCATCAATCGTCGATGTTTTTGCAAAACCGCCCATCGACCAATTGCAAAACCGCCTGTCTAACGGCACTCAAATTTTACACAAGAGCGAAAAAGCGGGTTTTCTTTGAAGGCATTGCCTTGATAGGCGGTATTTTCTCTGGCAATTTTTTTAAAAATCTGTTTTTTTTAATAACGATTTTGCGCTTTTTATGCATAAATCTCGATGCCCAGAGTTCAGGGTTATCATACCTCATTTTTGCCACAACGGCGATTTAGGCGGTTTTGCGACTGGCCGATGGGCGGTTTCGCAAAAATATCGACGATATGTATGTGCATGCATATTTTAGTTTTCACAATTATTGTTTGTTTATACATAAATATAAATTGTTTTTGTTGCATTTTATTATTTAGTTTTACAAAAAAACAAAAAAAAGATTTTTAGCGATTAGCCATGGAAGACGCTTAGAATTGTAAGTTAGTAATTGTAACAGGTAAAAAGGACATATTTGCAAAAAAAAAATACATAAATAAAAGAAGCAAAGAAATGTTTGCAGAGCTAAGAAAAAAAGGAAAATATTAAATGAGGTATAAGATATACATACATACATGCATACATATGTATGTACTTATGTACGTACGTAAGGCGCCAATAATCAAAAACCAATGGTTAATCAAATGCAATAGTACACAATCACCTACGGACAAAAAAAAAATAATAATTACATATATACACATGGCAACTCATAGCATACATGCGTACACGTAAACATGACTTTTAGCATAAAGATAGTGCAGTTGAAAAAAATATATTTAGCTGGATAACAACACATTTAAAAATATATAAAGTTAAAACTAAAAGCGTTTTTTGATTTTCCCTGTTTATATCTGTAATTCCTCAACATTTGTAAGCAAGATGTAGTTTTAACCCTTGTGCGAAATTACATTTCTGAATTTTTAAATTCATGCCTGGCCAATTTTGTTCACTATCTTAAATATTTTTTTTTTTTATCCTAAAGCCGAATGTGGAAATTTAATACGTAGTGGAAATCTGGCATTAGGTTTTTATTCAATCCAGTTTTATTCTATTCTCGTTTACTTTTACTTATTTCTAATTTAATATTTTATTTTTTATTGTTGTCCTTTTTAGTTTATTTTATACTTACACAATCCTAATTTAATTTAATTTATTTAGAATATTTAAAGATGATGTTCTAATGAAATTAATTCCTTCTATTTCCCGCTAAATTTGTTTTATTTTTATTCTCTACCTAAATATACTTAATAGTCTTTATATTTTTAAAGTTTAATAAAATCTGTTGCTAATTTTCTAGTTTAGTTTCTAGTTTTACACATTGTATTCAGCGCTTAAACAAATTTAAAAAATTATAATTATAAAATGGTTACAGCACACCATAAATGTATGTTGATTGCATTTAATATGTATGTCGTTACATAAAAAGCCAATACAACAAAATAGATGCATACAATATCTAAAGGAATTAAAACAAAATAATGTTTTGAACTTGTGTTAGTGCGTATGCCAAACGCCTATGACAAGAATCAAAAAATAATAAAAATAATGTATAAAATATCATGACTCACAAACCATAAATAAATTTATTATTAATCTCAAAATAAATGCAAATAATCCAAATACATATTAAAATTTTGTTTCCTTAATGAAGATGGGCATTTTTAATTTGGCGGGACGTATGGCAAAATTTTTAAAAATTAAATTAAAAAGGTTGCAGAGCTGTGCGCTTAATTGATTATTCCAAATTTTAATTAATCATAAAGTAAATAACTCAATTAATCGATTAATTGGAAATTATAATTGCTCAAAAGTTAAGTTACTCGAGTAATAGAGATTTAACCAAAAACAAAAATATTTTAGTAATTCACTTTATGGTTAATCAACATTATGCGTAAAATGAATAATCAACATTTCAAAGTACTCTTTACATATACATAAAAAAGTTGAAGTTCCTTCATACTTTGAAAACAACGTTTCTGTTTTCAAGAATTAAGATTAAATTATTTTTTCATATACAGATTGTTAAAAAGAAAATAAGCAAACTATTTTAACGAGCAAAATTCATTTTTTTAAGTAATCATATTTTAATTAACTTGATTAATCATCGTTTTGAGTAATCAAAATCTTGATTACTCGAGTATTTGATTAACCGAATAACAGGGTTAACAAACTTGCTCGAGTAATCGAATAATCGCACAGCCCAACTGCGTTGTAAATAATTACAATAATAATAATTGTTGTAATGTTTTTTTTTTTAATATTCGTAATATATTTCCAGCGAAATTTTTTGTTATTTTTTTATAAAAATTCTGAATTTTTAGAAAATTTTTGGGTATGCAGTTTTAACTAAAACCGCGTAAATCGCAGTTTCAAACTTTATACAAAATTTAACAAGTTTTCATCAAAATTTCAACTTTTTATTCTGAATTTTTAGATGCAGTTTTATAGCCCATATAATTTTAGTCTAATTGGGTGCAAGTTTCAACCAGCTAAAAAATTGCATTGATTTTTCAGAGTTTTTGTTTTAGGCTACTTTTTCGGGTTTTTTAATATAAAAAGCGCAATTTACAAAAACTTGCGTTGGTATTTTGAAATTTTGTTGTTGAAGGTCTCTTGCATTAAATTTCATAAGAAATTCATTTTTATATGAAAAAAGTGCAAAAATCCGTCACCAAAAAAAAATCTTAACAATCAGCGCCATTTTTTAGCCGTTTGAAACTTGCACTTCAAACTAAAATTGTATAGGCTATAAAACTGCATAGCCAAAAATTTTCTAAAAATTCAGAATAAAAGGTTGAAACTTTGATGAAAATTCGTCGAATTTCCCTAAGTTTTGTATAAAGTGTGAAACTGTGATTTACACGGTTTTGGTTAGACGATATTTTTATACAAAAATTTTTACTTAAAAGACAGCATAATCTCGCCGTAGAGTATCTGTACGAATCTTCATTACGAACGGATTGAATGAAGGCTCTCTACGAATTTCGAATTTACGTTCGTAGCCATTCGGATTCTGTGATAGCACTTTCGTATATTTCACGAAAATCGAATCTACGACGCAGAATTTTTCTGTAATTGTAGCCCGTAGCGCAGAAATCTGCGGAATTTAGATTTTTCCGTGTCCGCTGATTTCTTCCTTGTATAGATGGTTGCCACTTCGTCAGTTTTGCAGATGGTAAAAAAGTTATAAGTTACTATTCAAAATACATTTAAAATATTTGAAATTTGCTATTGAATAAGGTTTTTTGTTGAAAACTAAGTAGTTTATATTTAGCTACGTTCTATTATAACATGAAAAATTTTAGTTGAAAAGGTAAGTTAATGAAAAGGCATTGGTGAGTGGCAACACTGTAGTAAGCAACACTGAGGGCTCCAGTANTGATTTTAAATTTTGTTCCGACAGCATAATCTCGTCGTAGAGTATCTGTACGAATCTTCATTACGAACGGATTGAATGAAGGCTCTCTACGAATTTCGAATTTACGTTCGTAGCCATTCGGATTCTGTGATAGCGTTTCGTAGATTTAACGTAAAATCGAACCTACGATGGATCCTGTGATAGCCCTGATTACGAATATTTGAACAAAATCAATACATGCTCATTTGTTTGAATAACTGTATATAGATACATATCTACGGTGACCAATCGTACCGATTTTAGCTGAACAGTTCTGATTTTGACAAAATCGTCCCGCTGACTGATTTTGACAAAATCGTCCCGCTGACTGATTTTAAATTTTGTTCCGACAGCATAATCTCGTCGTAGAGTATCTGTACGAATCTTCATTACGAACGGATTGAATGAAGGCTCTCTACGAATTTCGAATTTACGTTCGTAGCCATTCGGATTCTGTGATAGCACTTTCGTATATTTCACGAAAATCGAATCTACGACGCAGAATTTTTCTGTAATTGTAGCCCGTAGCGCAGAAATCTGCGGAATTTAGATTTTTCCGTGTCCGCTGATTTCTTCCTTGTATAGATGGTTGCCACTTCGTCAGTTTTGCAGATGGTAAAAAAGTTATAAGTTACTATTCAAAATACATTTAAAATATTTGAAATTTGCTATTGAATAAGGTTTTTTGTTGAAAACTAAGTAGTTTATATTTAGCTACGTTCTATTATAACATGAAAAATTTTAGTTGAAAAGGTAAGTTAATGAAAAGGCATTGGTGAGTGGCAACACTGTAGTAAGCAACACTGAGGGCTCCAGTAATCGACAAAATTCTGCGTATACAGACGTATACGTTCTGCGTTCTTGACTAATTTCAACTTAAATTTCGATAACAGTTTTTTTATTTGTTTGTTGTTGTTTTGTGAGTTTTGTTTTGCTCGGTTTGTTTTTTTTTTCATTCACTATTTATTGACGTTTTGTTTCTTCTTTTAGCTCATTAATAACTCACAATAAGCAATTTTCAGAGTTGTATTCGCGAAGTTAAGGCAAGCTCATCTCAATAAAATATTAATGATGTACTGATTCGTAAATAGTAAAATTTTTACAGTAGAATATCAAAACCATGCAATAGCTATTCACTTGCAAGTTTTTACTAGTTTTGTTTCCAATAACTTTTTCTGCTAGTTTTCTACTCAATCTTACGCTCTATTTTGCTGTTGCGCTTTCGGTGCAATGTTTAACTGGAGAAGTTACTATACAAAGCTCGTACTACACCTTTTCCAACAGTATTTCAGAAAAACACAAATGTATTTCAGAAAAGACCAAATGAATTTCAGAAAAGGCCAAATGAATTTCAGAAAAAGCCAAATGAAATTCAGAAAAACACGATTGTATTTCAGAAAAGTTCAAATTATTTTCAGAAAAACGCAAATATATTTCAGAAAAGGACAAATGTATTTCAGAAAAGCTCAAATGTATTTCAGAAAAGGCCAAATGTATTTCAGAAAAAGCCAAATGAAATTCAGAAAAAGACAATTGTATTTCAAAAAAGTTTAAATTATTTTCAGTAAAAAGCAAATGAATTTCAGAAAAGCACAAATGTATTTTAGAAAATCATAACTATATTCTAAAAATATTTCTCTTTTCGGAAATTTGGGCTTTTCTGAAATACATTTGTGTTTTTCTGAAATACTGTTGGAAAAGGGGAGACTGTCGCGCTTTGATTTCTTAATGCTTACACATTGGGAAGTTAGCTTAAGCTGATGCCACATGAAACGCTTGCTTCGCTTTACGTGACAGATTCGCTTTGACAGCTAAGATGAATTGTATGAAAATGCACAAAGCATGCCACATAGATCATTGAAGCTGNCTTCAAATCGTTATATCTCGGGTTCTGCCCATCGTAGAGACTTTAGCTTTAAAATTACGATAAGATGAAGTCTCTACGACCAGCAGAACCCGAGATATAACGATTTGAAGAAGTACATGATTAGTCAGAATCACGGAAAAATGCAACCTTTAACAAATCATATATCCGAAGAAAAAAAAAGAAGAAAAAGATTCCTAGAACACGTGTTAGCTTATTTCATGTATAGAACCCACAAAAATAATTTGAAGCGAATCGGAGACATGAGATAATTTTTAACGAAATCCGTCCGACTTCAAAAAGAATGGCTCATATGGCCAAATTGAGTATCGTATCGCAATTCCTGCTGAAATTGGGAATAGTTTCGAAATTGCTCAATTTGCACGACATGGAAACGCGCTTTTAGCATCAGCCACGGCAAAATTCGTATTTCCTTCTCGGACTACGCTTACCAACACTGCATCAAGCCCAGGTGAAAGAAAACAGCTGACTCAAATTCATAACAGGTTTTCCAGGTAAACATTTTTTGGTACTCCAGCGTCATTTTTGCTGTAAAAATAAAATTACGACGTTTAATATAAAAAACGAGTGTTATCACAATATTTTTGAGTATCAAATAAAGATATACCCTTAGACAACGATTTTCCAACCTCGACCAGCAAGATGGGTAATCAGCTGGTGGGTATAGCACCGTCGCAAATTTACCCAATGGATCACTATTTCTCGGGCTCCGAAATTATTTTCGAATCAAAGTGAGTGAAAAATCAGCATTTGCAAGTCGTTCTTTTATAATAATTTAAATAATACCTTGTGCAGCATGGGTAGCACACGCTTCTTCAAAGTGGCTAAAGCGAAATCCGAGGAAGGTTTAGTGGTAGTGAAAGTCTTCGTAAGGCATGATCCTACGCTGCCGCTGGAAAATCACAAGGAACGTTTGGAATACATTAAGAAGACACTAGCCAATGCAGTTAATTGCTTACCCTTTCAGAGGGTAGTGGTAAGTAGCGAACGTAATGTTGAAGATATCTATGAACGTATTTACATAAATATATATACATATGCGTAATTGTGTGAAATTAATAAGGCATTCTTTGCTCATTAAATAGTTAACTGATAAAGCCGCGTATATAATGCGTGAATACGTAAAGAATAGCTTGTACGACCGCGTTTCCACGCGTCCATTCCTCACAACTCTAGAGAAAAAGTGGATTACATTTCAAATTCTTTGTGCTCTAAATCAGTGCCACAAGCAAAAAATTTGTCATGGCGATATAAAGGTTACTGAAATATCGTATAACGAAAACTATATTCAAACAATTTCTTATCCAACAGCTTGAGAATATATTAATAACTTCATGGAATTGGGTTTTGTTATCTGACTTTGCTTCCTTTAAACCTACTTACCTCCCAGAAGATAACCCCGCGGACTATACGTATTTCTTTGACACAAGTAGACGACGTACGTGTTATATTGCACCTGAACGTTTCGTGTCTTTTTCATCTGATGATGCAGAAGGCTATGGCGCTATGCTTCCTACTGATTCCTTAGTACGCTTGGGGCCCTACATATCTGATAATACATTGACGCCAGCTATGGACATATTCTCTGCAGGGTAAACTATTTGCTAATCAAGATACCACCAACACCGTCATACTCAAAAAAAACGCTTATTTTTTTCAGTTGCGCGCTTTTGGAGCTATGGACGGAGGGTGCCGCACCGTTCGAACTATCCCAGCTACTCGCTTACCGTAGCGGTGATAATGACTTAGTGACTAAACATTTGGAAAGTATTGAAAACGAGCATTTGCATTCGCTGCTTTCCTCCATGATAAACTTAAACTCCACGTGCCGCAAGAGTGCTGAAGATTATTTGGACGAAGAACGTGGTCGTCTATTTCCGGAATACTTTTACTCTTTTCTGCAATCCTATTTGCAAATGTTTTCGTCATCGCCAATAATGTCTCCAGATGATAAAATTTTACGTCTACATTCCGACATTGGTCATTGTATCACAGTACTAACCAATGTCACTGATTTAACGCCAGATGAAGGCGATGTAGCAGGAGCTCGATGCATTGAAAAGATATGTCCACGTTTACCAGCTGAGCAAGATGGCCTAATTTTAATAATCACGGTAGTTACCTCCTGCATACGTGGCCTGAAGCAATCTAATACAAAAATTTGTTCGCTTGAAATTCTACAAAAGCTTTGCAATTACACAACATCAGATACAATTTTGGATCGCATATTGCCTTATATTGTAAGTATAGATAGATAAGTCTTCCTTCTTGTTGGGATTATTCAGCCAAAAACAAAATGCTATTAACAAATAAAAGTAAAATTATTTAAGAATTTTTGACTAAATTTCAATTCATTTTTCCAGCTTTATCTGGCACAAAACTCCTCAGCAAAAGTTCAAGTCGAAGCAATTGAAACGCTTACGGCTTGCCTCAGCATGGTCAGGCATATACCGCTTAGTGATGCAAATGTTTTCCCCGAATATATTTTGCCATCCATAGCAAAACTGTCGGGAGAGCCGAGCGCTGTTATTGTGCGCGTAGCGTTTGCACGAAATATTGGTGAGCCCAAGTTATTTAGGTAAGTTATAGAATATTCCTAATTTAATGTGAATATTTTTCACAGCCAAACTCGCCAAAATCGCGATTTACTTTTTGGAGGAGACCCAACGTAATGCACCGAATGATATGCCCGCTCGCAGATATGAGGCTGAATTAAATGCATTGCATGACATAATCCAGCAGAACGTATTAAGCCTTCTAACTGATGCAAGGCCAATTGTTAAGCAAACACTCATCGAATCAGGGATTTGTGATTTATGCGGCTTCTTTGGCAAAGAGAAAGGTTTGTTTACACTACTTTCCAAGCAAGCATCTTAAAGCATTTTGATTTTTTTTGGCATATTCCACACCGTCCAGCTAATGATATTATACTTTCTCACATAATGACATTCCTAAATGATGAGGATAAAAATTTGCGCGGCTCATTCTATGATAACATTGCCGGTGTTGCTGGCTATGTTGGTTGGCAGGCATCCGATATACTCGTGCCTCTTTTGCAGCAGGGCTTTACGGACCGTGAAGAGTTTGTCATAAGCAAGGCAATACGTGCTATCACTACTCTCATAGAATTAGGCCATATTAAGAAGCCAACAATCACCGAGGTTATTAAGGAAACTGCTTGTTATTTATGTCATCCTAACTTGTGGATACGGCACGAAATTTGTGGCATGATCTCAACAGCGGCACGCACATTGAGTGCCATAGATGTGCATGTAAAGATAATGCCGGCGATAAGCAAGTTTCTAAAAATGCCTTTAATTCAAGTCGAAAGGCCAGACTTGCTATTGGATTGTTTGCAGCCACCTATTCCCCAACAAATTTACGACAGTATATTGAGGTAAGCTAATGTCCTTTTTTGTTTTTGCTTGGTAAATCATATGGGTTTAAAATTTATTTTAGGTTTAACGACATTCAGATGTTTGTGAAAGAACTGGAAGCTCGCGCCAAAGCTCGCAATAACCCAAGGCAAGCAAATCTGCACCAACTTGATGAATCCAGCCAAGCTTTACGAAATGTGAGAAATGTCCCAACTATTTTAATAAGCAATTCTTACTAACATTCTATTAACAAACGTTTGTTTTCCTCGCTTCACAGCTTTTTTGCCGCTTGACCTCAGAAGGTCTTAATGATTTGGTGGAAATGCAGCTTCTCGCCTTTCAGCCTTATTGGTTCAAACTTAAGCATAAATCGCAGCAAGATGTGGATGAGCCCTTCTCCGGTAATGGTCGTATAGTGATTAACCCCAAATATGTGCAATGCCATGACTACCCACTAGTTGAGAAGCTAGCAAAATCGCCACAGGAAGCACGTAAGAAAGCTAACCATTCGTTACTTTTGTATTTTTTGTAATTTTTAATGAAATGCTCATTTAGGCGCAAGTGAAGGGATTCTATCTGCCACTGCATCAACTGCATCGGATGCTGCTATCTCGTCTCTTGGCGGCGCGGCTGGCAGCCCACCGACTGGCATTACCATAGTGGGCGGTGTTGTTCAACAGGCACCAATAGTTAGCGCCGCCACTTCACTCGGAGAGTATACAATGCCTGAACGCAACTATTGGCAAGGTATGTTCATAAAAAAAAATGTAATCTTATTATCGTTTACATATGTACATATATGCAATCGTTCAGTCGCATTTCAATTAATATATATACATATATTTCTCTGTTCTACAGAACGTTCGTCGGAGTGCCGAAAAGATTTAGACGCACTGCGATATTCCTTTAAAACTCGTTACAGTATGCTAGCATTTTCACATCACAGCCATAACGAAAGGCTAAACTCGTCCTATCCACCAGGTTGGTCTCTTAATGGCACGATGATAGCTCATCTTCACGAACATTCCGAGTCAGTAATTAGAATGACATCGTTAAGGCCGAACGGTCCTATCTTCGCAAGTGGCAGCGTTGATGGCACAGTGAGGCTTTGGGATTGTAATAAATTGAATGTCAATCAGGGCATCAATAGGTCGCGTCAAGTTTACTCAGCTAATACACCGATTTATTCACTGGTTGCTTGCGACAGCGGTCAGTCGTTGGCAGTTGGTGGCAAGGATGGCAGTTTATTAATTATGCGTATTGATAGGAATTCATCAAAAATGGCGTTGCAACAAGCATTGCATTTAGACGAAGAGTAAACTACTTGTACATTTGAAAGCCGGAATAATTTTGACTAATTATTGAATTGATTTATTTGTAGTGACCAAAGCGATGGACCCGTTGTGGATATGCAAACCTATGATCAAAGCGTTATCATCTATGCCACGGTATATGGCGCCATCGTTGGATGGGATACACGGGTGCAAAAGCCCGTTTGGCGTTTAGAGAATGAACTGCAACATGGTGTTATAACAACAATATGCGTTGACCCAGCTGGCTCGTGGTTAGCTACCGGCACTAGTGGTGGAAAACATATTTGTTGGGATTTGCGTTTCCAACTGCCAATTGCCGAAATTAAACATCCCACTGGGTCGAGGATACGCAAAGTTGCCTGCCATCCAACAGAACCTTCATATTTAATTTCAGCCTCACAGTCGAATAATGAAGTCTCTTTGTGGAATATTGAAACGGGTCATCGCCAAACAGTATTGTGGGCCAGTTCAGCATCTGTGCTTTCAAATACCCACACAGTAATATAACTAACTAATGGCCCTATTATGTATGGCGACTGGGGTCTACTTACTGGTCTAGTAGCCATGTTTGCCGGTATCGTAATTTGTATTATGTGTAGCGAATAATCTCCGAACTTTTCCCAAGTAATTGGCAACTGTGCTCCAATGTGTTGAACAATTTATATGAACAAATAACAAAATCCTCGTTAGCGGGAGACAGAAAATTCCGCTACTAGACTCAGTTGCCGACAGTCAGTAGCCAGTAGCCATACGTAATGCGAACTTTAGTATATGGTTGCCCATCGGCTATCAGTCGCCATACACAGTAGGGCCATAAGTAATGGTATCGTTTATCTTATAGAATGAAACATCGACATCATGTGGGATTTTGAGCGGTGTAGTGGACAAAACACCATTCATACTAACTGGCAGCTCAGATCAACGTATACGTTATTGGGACCTGAACGAGCCTAAGAATTCATCACTGAAAGTACCTGCTGCCAAAGACAATCTTGAAGACGTTTCATTCAACTATGAGTACGCAGATCTTGTGAATTTTTGTATGCAAACATATTCACTATATATTTACGCGTTTCTATTCGCAGTTCACAGATGATTGACGGCAGTCAAGTAATTTTCGAACAAACAGCCTCATTGAGTAATCCGTCAGATATAAATTCAGCAAGCTGTTCAATGGAGGAAAATCCTCGTTCGGGACCAGATATGCCGTCGCCATGTCACCATGATGCCATCACTGATTTATTAATGTGTAAAACGGATAAAGGACAGATCTTTATTGCATCTGCTGCGCGTGATGGTGTTATCAAGTTATGGAAGTAGACAAATATTTATTTTTATTTATAAATTATTAATCATACACAAATGCACTGTATAGATTTTAAATATTTTTTATGCATATGTACATATGTATATGCACATCGGTACATGTACGTATGTCTGTGATTCGTCATATATCATCTCAAATGCACTTTGTGTCTAACACATACTTTAATGATGCATAAAGTTTCGTTTAAAAACGGCGATAATTCTGAAAATTTTGTTTTTCATGTTGATCCATTTTAATTTTAATTCATGAAAAAGTGAGCAAAACTGCTATTACTTTATGTATTGTATGTATATGTTTATGTACGTATGTGAAACATTCAATAAAATATCAAATTTATTAAGATATAACCCCCAACAGTTCAAAATGGCTCCTCGACGAGTACGATCGTGCTGACCTGTCGAGTTTTGTTAAAGCAAGTATCTGATTAATATACACACAAAAATGAAGTCGGTTCATTAAATATAACATTAAAACAAGAGAAAATATACGTAGACATAAAGAAAATTGATACTAACACCCCTATTCTGCAACTCTTTCGTATTCGGATTTTGCTACGAATCGTAGGAATAGTATGCTGCAATCCGAATCGTATTTTCGAACTTTCGAAATTCGTAACAATGGCATGCCTAAAAACGAAAGAGTAAGCTTTTTTGCGTTATTTTGTACGAAAACAATGCTGTGTCGGAGGCGAAATAAATTATTCAAATCGATGTGTGTTTGCAAGAAATATTGGTGGTGTTCATTTAAACAGATAAATTTGCTTTCGCATATACGTATGTTTTTATCCACTGCTTTATATAAACGAACAAAAAAGAATCTTTGTTGCCCCTTATCGAGAAACTTGGGTCCGGTATACGTATATTCGGCCCTATGCAGAATATCGTCATCGTCAATGTCGACGATCGTCAGCGCATCAGTAACATGGCTGACGATGGCAGTAGCGTCACTTTTACTGACGATGACGATCTTCAACATAGGGCGGAATATGAATAGCATCTATAGTTAAGTGCTATAAAATTAAAGACAATAGAATTATGGACTACCACGACGCAGACTTTGGTGTAAATAAGCTCCGTAGTTCAAAAAAATAAAATTTCCCCGAGCAAAATTTTCGCGGCAACCACAAGAATGCAGTTGCCAATATAGCAACTCATTTGTAGTTGTTGATGTAGCAGCACATAGTACCCGAATTGATTGGTCCTTAGGCCCAATAAAGAAGCGGTTTCTATCGGCCATACACTAGCAACTCATTTGCTAGTTGCTATCTGTAATACCCTCGACCCTATTAAGCTGGCATTTCAGGGTACTATTTTTGAAGTGAAACTTCTTTATCGGCAGTTGGTTGGTTAGGAGTAAATTGGCAAATTCAACGGAAATCGCACACGGAAATGGTGCAACGGCAATGGTTCGGGTTGAAACAAGTGCTTCATGTGTGTATGCACATTATTCGCCCCTATTCCGGTTGTCGGAACGACAGTCGTTCGTCGAAATTTCAGATTTTCATAGGCGTTATGAGGCAACCAATGACATAATTTACTAAAAATGTTTATTCCTATTATCCATTCGAAATGAAGAAGTACTGAAAACGTATACAAATCTGTCGTTAATATTTTTGTTTACGACATAATTCAACGAACGACTGTCGATGCGAACGACTTACGACAACCAGAATATTATTAATTTAACAAAAATTAGCTAATATAAGGTTAAAGAATAACACTTAGAAAAAGAAAGAAAGAATGAAAGCAAAGGTGACTGCGTACATAGATAAAGAAAAGGATAAACGCAAAGGTAAAAATAAAAAAATAAAAAACAAAGATAAAGGCATAAATGAAGACTAAGGTAAATTTAAACATTTTACTTACATGTATAAGGGCAAAGGTGAAGGGGAATATGTGGATGAAGAAAAATATAAACATCAATATAAAGACAAAGAGAAAGATAGGCGAAGAAAGTTTAAAATGAAGGTAATTTAAGAGGAAAGGATATAGAGAGAGACACGGAGATTCAATCTTCGAACTATTTTGGGATTTTAGATTTTTTCGGGGTTCTCGGGACTTGTCGATAAAATAATTGATAATTTTATCGATTTTGTTATCGATATTTTTAACGGTTTTTTTATATAAATTTTTATCGATGTTATCAATTTTGCTATCGATATTTTCGGAACTTTTCGATATATTTTTATCGATTTTTTTCGATTTTGTAATCGTTTTTTAGCTATTTTGTTAGCGATATTTTTTGCCGATATTTTCATCGATTTTGTTATCGATATTTATCGGCTTTGTTATCGATTTTGTTATCTATATTTGTCGATTTTTTGTCGATATTTATTGATTTTGTTATCAATATTTATCGATTTTTTATTGGTTTTTATCGATTTTGTTATCGATACTCATCGATTTGTTATGGACATTTTTATCGGTTTTGCTGTCGGTATTTTTATCGATTTTGTGATGGATATTTTTATCGAGTTTCTGACAGATTTTGCTTCCAATATTATCGACTTTGCTATCGAATTTTTCATCGATTTTGTTATCGATATTTTTATCGGTTTTGTGATATTTTATTGGATGTTACTATAAATTTTTTTATCGATAGAATATAAAGATTAAACTGAAGATAACGGAAAACAGAATAATATAAATGTAATTAAACAAACAGTGGTAGAGGTAGGGATCTAGATAGAAAAGACAAAAAATATAACCTTAAGCAAAAGCAGATGTATGTATGTATGGTTATGAGACAAAAGAGATATGTATGTAACGTACATAAATTTCACTTCTGCAGTGTGGCCCAGACGCACTTACTTTTTTTATATATAGGGAAATTTTGAAAGTAAGGGGAAGCTCGAACACTCCCTGCCCCTACCTGGCTACGCCAACGTCTCTGCCTATACAGCAGGCGAAAAAACAGATTCCCACGACAGTCGGGTCTACGTAACTGGAATGACCCAGATTTATATCTGGCCAAAGACTGTCACTCCAGCAACACTCCCCAAAATCTCTTTCGGGAATTTGTACGCTGTTACAATAACAACAACAACAGGTTGCAGTAGAAAATTAAGCAAATACAAAAATTTCTAAAGGATTAAAATTAATTGATTATGTGACAAAATAGTAGTGTTTTATTTAAGACACAATGGAGCGCAGTCATACAAATGGGAAATGAAAGCATGATTTGCATAAAACGCGACAACACTTATTTTCTTATTATTACTAAAACATAGATATCTTTCCTTCATAATATTTATCATAATTGATTGCTTTTCTAAACGCTTTTCGACAATATGACGATTTTATTAGAAACTAGGCGTATCATATATAAAACATTGAATAAAAAACTAATACAAAACTGCCTTATTACATCTTTGGGTTCGAATCGTAAGTCGTGAACGAGCGACTCGTCCCGTAAAACTACATATTTCGTAATTCTGTGTACGAGACGACAGTTGTTATAATCCGAAATATTAATTTTTACGAAACGAGTTGCTCGCTCACGACTGTTACGATTCGAGCCCTGGTTTTGTTCTGAAACTAACGTAATACACATATTCTTATCGTCCATGTTAACATTCTAGTCCCGCGTGCGAAGACCCCAAATTGATGTGCGACGTGTTCCAACAGTTGGTCTGGCTACTGAACTGTGGATGAATTTATTAATTCCTATATTTGGAAAGTTTTGTTCCAACAACTCCATTCCTGTATCTGAGAGCATTCCAAATATGTCCAGATAAGTCAGTGTGGGCAAATTAATTAAATCCCTAAAAAGAGAAAACGGGAAATCACAAAAAAATCGTCGCATTGGCATTTATTAAACGAAAGTTTAACAACTGGTACTTACATATAGGAAGACGCAGGAATGAGATAGCAGCGAGACAAAGACAAATATTCGAGCATTTTGAATCTACAAATAATATTAACGACACTGCCTGTCAATGCAGTACAATCAGAGAAATCTATTTCTAGAAGTTGTGGACATCGTTTGGCCAAGCTGGCCACGTCTATAAAAAAAATAGGAAAAACCCCTATATTAGTAAAAAAAGAAACGTTTCCATTTGTCTCCATAACGTACGTGAGTCATACAGTGTCTTCCGGCAGCCAGCCATATTCAATCGCATAAGATTTGGTGTGACATTTGTCACTACCGATGTCACAGCATCCACCGATAAATTTGTCCATGATATATTCAAACTGTTTAAATTTTGCAATGATTCCATTATTTTGCGCACACTCCAGGCTTCCAATCCTATACACATTGCTAAATTCAGGGCTTCTAAATTGGCATTCTTAGCTATTTCGTTACAAATTTCATCGTTAATGGGCACATGCTCTAAGCTTAGTTTCTTTAATTGTCGGCAACGTGATAATAGCATTTTTAGCGACGGCTTTGTAACTGATACCATACTTAGATCTAAATACTGCAACTTCGATTCGAACTTCGTTTCGGCATGTAGAAAGTCACTATCGAAGATGGGATGATTCAACTTAAATGCAAAAAAAAAGTTTTATTTACATACATACGTCCGCTTTTTTCACAATGTATAAATAATTCTATTTTTTAAATTACCTCGGCTTGCGCTAAACGTAGAATTACTACACCGCGTGTTAATATACTTTCCAGGGCACCAGCCCGCAGATGCCGTCCTCCTAAGTCCAGACGCGTCCAAAGCGACTCATCACTGGCACATCTACCAAAACGTCGACAAACATAGCTGCAGCGTATTAACGCTTTTTTAGGAAGCCATTTAAAAATTTGTAAAATAATCTCATCCGACAACGAGCTAAAATGATCCTTTCCATCGTTAACATGATCGCGCAACTGTTGTTGTCGAAACAAGAAGAAATTGTCATATAAAGCCATATGTGGATGCTGCTCATTAGGTTTTTGCTTCTGCTGATGTTGGCTTACATTTTGAACTTGCCTCTGCAACTGCTGCTGTTGAAGCTGTTGCCGCTGTTGTTGTTTGATTAAAGTTATCTGCTTGCTGGTTGAAGGCATGGGCATGTAATTGGATGCATATAATATAGGATTGGGATTTGTTGAGTTATTTATTGTAGCGATGCCATTACCTCCTATGCTCTATTTATTATAATATAAATAACATTAAGATTTAAATAAATTAGAATACATATACGAAATTACAATATTCAAAACTGTTATCCAATACCTCATGCTGTGAAGCATTTCTTACTGTTCGATTATGGTTGTTGCCAGAAACTGTAGCCAATGGACTGCGTGTGCTTCTGCCTGCTGAAGGCGAGTTGGAATTCGAATTTGTAACATTTGGTTGTGATGCAGACGCGGACGACGAACTACTGCCTGCACCCACACCAAGTATAGCGACTTTCCTATATTGAGGTAATACTTTATCTACATTTTTAGATTGACATTGTTGCAGCAGCAACGTTTGTTTGCTTTCGTCACCAAAGGAGTCTAATGTATTGTTGTTATTATTATTGCAATGTTGATGATTTGC